CGTTTCTCCGCGTTTTGTCATATTGTCTGTGTAGCGTTTGTGTATTGTAAGTCACGAAATATGTCAGTGTTTCTTACGTACCAGGGCGAAATGAATGACTGTCGCAGATTGAGGCATTTCTTCCATATTTCTTCGTTGCCAGTTGAGTGATTCAGCAGCATGTGTTTAAAATGAGTTGTCGCCGCCCAAAGAGATCCATTGTTTGGGATTTTTTTGAAAAAAAAATTATATAGAAAACATAATTTGGTATTATTTTCATTCATGTGAATTTTTATCCCCGCTAAATAAAGCTCCCATCTAACCCCCCCGCGATGCCACTCATAAAATTCCTGCATACCTTTTTTCTTGTATGTCGGTGCGGTGATATTCGAATGTCTCATCTATCCTCTCGGCCGTCTTACCTCGAGATGTTGTAGCTCGTTAGAGCGTTGGAACAATCGAAACATCTGCGCACTCGCTTGAGTAGTGCAGGTATTAGTAACGCTGTGGCCACTGTCATTCGTATCCGAATAATCGAATGATTCTATATGACCACTAGAGATATCTCGAGAGATTTTCATAATCGATATAATCGATAATTTTCATTCGAGTAGTCCCATCACTATAGAAAAGGAAAGCAATAGAAGTTGGAGAAAGTGTCAAGAGTTAGCGCTGTTAATGACCACGAAATCTGTTCAAGTTTCATATCTATAGTATCATTTATCTAGAATCACAATCATCACATAATCAAATCAACAACACATTTAGGTTAACTTTTATGACAAAACGTCAAGTAAATAATTCTGTGTCCCTATAATATTTTGGTTTATAGACATATATCATTTTATAAACATGGATATAACACTGCTTGTGGCTTTAGCAGCTATAATATTTATAGTTCTCATAGGATTAACTTTAATATTTAAATTCAATAAAGGGCCAGAGAAAGGTAAGTAAATAATAGAAACATATGTTGTTCAACAAAAATGCTTTATTCTTTCAGCTCCGGAAAGACCGAGGCCTGTGCCAAATAGAGTAAGAGATGGTGCACCAAGAAGAGCACAGATTGCGAGAAATCGAGGAACTCGATTAAGAGCCAATGGTAATATTAGACTTCAGCTGAAATATTTGATTTAAAATTTTCACTATTTAATACTGGGCTAGTAAAGAAATCTAAACTAATATTAATTTATGTAATTGTATTACATTACAAGTTAAATATATTAGTATTGTTTTAGTTGCTCATCAGGAGGTTCAAGAATCTGAGGACGAAAATGAAGTTGAAAAAGAAGATGTAGAAGTACCTGATAATAAATTAGGGGCAAAAAAGAGAGCAAAATTGGAAGCAAAAGCTGAGAAGAAAGCTGCACGTGAGGCAGAGGAGCAATTAAGAGCAGAAAAAAAGAAAAAGGCAGAGTTGGCAGAAGAGGAAAGAAAGAAAGAAGAAGAAAAGGAAAAAGAAGAAGAAAAGAAACGTGAAGAAGAAGAAAAGAGGGCAAGAGAGGAGAAAGAACAACGTGAATATGAGGAATATTTGAAAATGAAGGAGGCGTTCTCAATCGAAGAAGAAGGATTTGAAGAAGGCGAACAGGGTGATGAGCAAAACTTATTACAAGAATTTGTTAACTATATTAAGACAAACAAAGTCGTAGTTATAGAAGATTTGGCTTCTCAGTTTAAATTAAAAACTCAAGCAGCCATTGACAGGATTAAAGACTTACAAAATGATGGCATTTTAACAGGTGTTATTGATGACAGAGGAAAATTTATTTATGTTTCTGTGCAAGAGATGGAAGCTGTTGCTAAATTCATTAGGCAAAGAGGAAGAGTTTCTATTACCGAACTGGCAGAGAATAGTAATACATTAATTAATTTTACACCTAGTGCAGTTGTAAATTAAATATACAATAATAAAAACTTAGTATTATAAATATCACCGACTCATAATCCTTTAGTTTGTTTATTATTATTTGGACTGGCATATCACAAATTAATTTTTTTATAGAATTGTTAGTTTTAAAAATTCTTCATTTATTTTAGGGTATTACCTAATTAGTGAGAGGTATAAAAGTAGAAACTAAAATATAAAAATTTTGAACTTACCATTGACAATACTGATTTTTTCATAAGGTTGGCATATAATGGTGAATGTGGAAGAACACACTAAACTATATGGATATATTGTTCATGTAAAAATTAAAAAAAATCTAGTAGCATTGCAAAACTCCCTGTGTACAATGCTCTAATTGTAGTTAACGATGGGGCTCTTGGTTATTTGAAAATTTATTACAAAAATTGTTAGGTACTTTCTCATGATGACTTGAAAACAAATAAACATTAAATAACAATTGGATTATTTTAATTATTTTTACACATGTAGAATACACCTTTGAAGTTTGATGTATTTGTGTCGACTCATCGTCTATATTAGCAGACAAATTTATAAATCTCGATTTTATGGTTCAATATGTGTTGTTCAACATAAAACTACAGTTCTATCTGCACCATTAATGACTCGGTCACGCTCGCCTTGCTAATACGTAAATGTTTTTACTTAAGGGGTAATGCCTGTCTAGAGGTTGGAAAAAAAAACGTGATTTTCAGGAATTTTTAAAGAAAAATCAATACAAGATATAGTCAGGAACAAAAGGCTTTCTTGTATTTGTTTTCAGATATTATTGTCAATTTTTTCGAACAATTTGGATTCAAAATGGCAGCTATAAATGACGGCAAGAGCGCTATATGGCTACAAGGGTTATTAACGGATGGGTTTGGAACAAAGAAACAAAATTTTTCTAATATTATATACTAAAAGCTAGGGAACATAGGAAAATTTAAAAATATTAATAATTGTCGATTTAGTGAACTTTCAAAAGTATTGAAAAAAGACGAAAAATTTGTATGAATTGATGAAAATTATTGATCGAAAAACCCCTACGATGTTCTCTGAATTATGTTATTGTGAAGCTTTGTACAAAATTTGAAATTGATCGTTGAAAACTTTTTGAGTTATGCTACCAGCTATTTAAAAAAAGTGGTTTCTCGACAAATGCTTTTAAAGTTTTTGTTGCTTCATTATGTATATCTTCAGCACCATACAATTGGCCTCCTATGTTGATGTTTTCTTCATCCTCTTCTTTTTGCCTTGATCTGACAATCAATCTGGTTTTATATCTATCGTGCCTTCTCACGAGTTAAGCATTCCTGCAGCATGCTTGGAGTGGTTGCTCTCCACCTAAAAAAAACTCGTGTTTCCAATTTTTGCCCCACCTAGAACTTTTTTCTATATTCTTCACATAATAAAGCATTGTCCATTTATTTATCCAAAAATTGATTTTTTTCAAAATTCTAGAATGGCTTTACCCCTTAAGCATATGTTTATTACGTACTGTTAAAATGTTTTCTTTGAATTTTACATAGAGCAAAGAATATTTATTTTAAATTGTTTTTATATTTTTGAACATCATAGAAACCGTCTTAAATTAAATAAAGTACTACAGGTCATGTCATCCTCTTGTCTGGAATTTCGATTATTTGGATTATCGTTGGTCCCTCTAGTCCAGTTTGTACCGTAATATAAAATTTAAACCTTAACTATTTTAGCATAAATAAGCCATATAAGACTATGTATCTAATAATAGACCAGACGGGATCTGTTTTGGTGTAGATGTTTTATATAGTCTCGCTAATTTTTGCTTTAATGGCTCCAAAATGATATAACATACACATAATTTCACTATGCGCGCTTCAAAACGTGTGCTAAACTTATTATTAAACCAATAGTGAAAAAATTGGAAAAATTTTTTTTCTCTTTTTCAACACAGTTCAAAAACTATTCATTTTAGAGAAAAATTGAAGAGGAAAAGAAGATTCGTAATTAAATTTAACACAAGATATACTTACTTTCAAATAAAAAAATACGATATAATTATTGCAAATATAGCAAAAACAAAACAAAGTGAAAAAAATTACAATATTTTTGCGATTTTTTAAAAAGTACTTATATTAAAGGTAGAATCTTCATACTTCGCCAAAAAAATTTTTTTGATATAATAAAACACCACACCAATTTTCGTTAAAATCGGTCTGATAGTTTTCGAGTAATAATTTTGCAATCGATTTTTGAAAAAAAATTGAAATTTTTGCAAATTTAATTGAGTCTAAATTAAGACTTCTAGATACTTGAAAATTTTATCACATAAAAAGGGGCACTCCAACTTTAAAATGCGTCCAGACAAATTGAAATTCGTGAATTAGGAGTCGTGGTAATTGTTTAAAAATATGCGTAATTTTTCTGGATGCATTTTAAAGTTTTAGCGCCCTTTTTTTTGCAAAAATTTCAATTTTTTTTCAAAAATCGATTGCAAAATTATTACTCGAAAACTATCAGACCGATTTTAACGAAAATTGGTGTGGTGTTTTATTATATCAAAAAGATTTTTTTGGCCAAGTATGAAGATCCTACCTATAAGTACTTTTTAAAAAATCGCAAAATATTGTAATTGTTTTCACTTTTTTTTTTTGTTGTTTTTGCTATATTTGCAATAATTGTATTTTTTATTTGAAAATAGGTATATCTTGTGTAAAATTTAATTACGAATTTTTTTTTCCTCTTCAATTTTTCTCTAAAATGAATAGTTTTTGAACTGTATTGAAAAAAATAAAAAAATGGAATTTTCTTTTTTTCACTATTTGTTTAATAATTTTAGCACACATTTTGAAGCGTGCACATAGTGAAATTATGTTTTGTTGTATCATTTTATAGCCATTAAAGCAAAAATTAGCGATACTATATAAAACATCCATACATGGGTGTTTTGAAACAGTCCCGCCTGGTCTATAATATAAGTCATAAAATAAACTGTAACTGGAAAGTAATAGTCTTTATTATATATTTGAAGAAAGTGCAAATCCCACATTTAGGTCGGAAAAACATTTTTATATGTTTTATAGAAAAACTATATAAAATAAACTTAAAAAATATGCAAGTATTAGGCAGACATTTAGTCACTCATGTTTTCATCTTCTTCTTCACTAGTTACATCTGGTTCTTCAGCCTGTTCCTCACATTTTGGACATTTACATGCGAACAGGTAATTTTTCATTAATTCTTTCCTCCTGGAATGTCTCGATCTGTCTAATGTACATTCATCTAAGTAACTGATGAATATTTCCTCTCCCTCCTCTATATCTTTAATTGCTACCAAGGATAATCTGTGATTGTTATGCAAAAAAGTAGGTTCGGCATTAGGCACACAACTGTGATTGCATGTGCTTTGTAATGAGTACAAAGCAACACCTTCATTATTTAAAAAGTTTCCAGAATGTTCGTCCATTTGATCATATAGGCTATCTATAAATTTGTCTAGGACTTCCCTTTCTTCACCAGTTAATGTAAGATCTGATGTTTTTGTCACCCATTGACTAATGGCACTTGTTCCTACACCTTGTCCATTGGTACCTATTACAAGATAAAAGGTTGTTAAAACAAAAATGATTGAAATGGGTAACAAAAGACTTTAATTTGAAGGGAATTCCTACAGAGATATAGGTTTAAGTTTCTTTAACAGAAAATGAAAGCTTATTTAAAATAATGACCTATTAGCGCAAGAAGACCCTGAAAACCTGCAGGTGTTAAGAACTGTTCGATTCCATCATGGGGAATGGCATTCGTTAATAAATTGTACAAAAGGGAAATCTGAGATGCAAACTTCTCTCCTAAAAGATTGTGTGCTAACTCCTCATCTTCATTAACTGTTCGATGGCAAAACTGCAGAGTTTGTTCAATGACAGCATCTCTATTTGAAGATTGAATTATTCTTGCTAATAATCGTACAATGAGCATGATACTGCTTGTTTCTGGTGGATAATGAACTTGTCTAAAAATAAATAAATAACGTTTTTTATACGTTTTATTACACATGATCTTTTTACAATAATCAGGTAATTTATTGTGTAAGAATATTCTCATAAATTAAGGACTCTCTCTGGATATGTTTTTAGTATTTCTCACATCCAATAAAATTAGTAAAATGTAAATATGTGCTAAAGTTACAATTTTTAAGATATACTTGAATTGAGATGAACACCAAAATGTTATGCCATGCTCTTGACAAGAATTGTACATATTTGTTTATTTGTAATTTTAAACACTCAGTAAAGTACAGTCTGTGGAAGATAATTTAAATTTTAATATGTTGCGCAATCGATGTTCAGTCCCAAGAATTCAGTAAAATTTATTTAAGAGTTAATCTGTTTTAATTAAACTTTTATCGCAAACTGAATTTCTATATGAAAATATTATAAACTTGTTTTAACAATGTTTCTATCACGCGAGCTCGCTATGGGACCTATAGTGTAGGGGGTTAGGTGCACGGGAAAGTGCTAGATAGTACAACAGCGTGATGTTATTTTCATAGCGTTGCGCTATGAAAATAACATCACGCTGTTGTACTACCTAGCACTTTCCGTGCATCTAACTCCCTATGCTATAGGTCCCATAACGACTCGCACTTGTGATAGAAAATAGTATGTGCAACTCGTTCGGAAAAGTTGCCATAGCGCCACTTGGGCGCTTTCCGCACTCGCTTCGCTCGTGCGTCAACTGCATCCGCGTGGCGCTATTGGCAACTTTTCCCCACTCGTTACACAATGTACTATTGTGTATCTCTATATGTAAATGTATCTAATATATTTAAATTGTAAATTATTGCATTAACGTTATACAGGGTGTAACGGATGCTGATGGCCAAACTTCAGGGGGTTATTATACAAGTAATTTTCAACAAAAAAAGTACTATAACATTTGTTTGGAAAGTTGATAGTTGCTTTTATTTAACACTTTTTGATTTCAAAAATTTTTTTGCCATTTTTCATAGAAACAAAAATATTTTTGTTATTTTTACAGCCACATCAAATTTAGACATACCATCGGAAAGAGCGTTAAATTTACTACAAGATGAGCATATAATGAGTGTTTAAAAATCTTCTAAACTAGGTGCTGTAAAATGTTAAATGAAATAATTGTGAAATGAGCAAAATTAGTGGTATCTCCTTATTGGTGGTAACGCCAAAAATTTAAACTACTGTATTTAGTAATCTTTTCAACGATATATCAACTTTTGAGTTTGTTATTTTTTTTGGCAACAATATCAAGGACAAAGGTGATAAAAGTGTAAAAATCGAAAATACACAAACTTTATAGTATTTTATTTTTATTTTAATACTGTTTTTTTAAATTAAGTAACAAAATTGTTGAAAAAATTATTTATAACTTAGTAACATGTTTACAATGACTTAATAATTTTCGATGTAACCTCCCCCTTGACGGATAATAAAACGCACCTTCTGCACACGAAATCAACTGTGTGACGCACTTCTCCATTTTGCTGTCGAAGTAGCTCCCAACAAGCAAAAATCCTTTGTTCGAGCTGTTCTCGAGTTTCAATTGGTACTTCATATACCAAAGATTTTAATCTACCACATCAAAAGAGGTCTAACGGAGTTAGATCAGGACTTCGAGGAGGCCACCTAACTGTACCAAAGCGTCCTATCCATCTATCTTCATAATGCTCGTTTAGCCATGCCCGAATCTCCCTGCTGTTGTCTGCAGGGCAACCATCCATTTGAAGCTAGGAATTAATCCAAAAATTTAAAGAAACCTCTTCTAATATATTATGCAGTTCGTTCTGAAGATCAAGAAATGCCTCTGCATTTAATGTATTTTCTAGTATAATTGGTCCAAGAACGTAATTTCCAATTATACCCATCCATACGTTAACTTTGAATCTGTATTGATTATTGGAGGGACGGTTTTATTACCTTTGCCCTTGATATTGTTGCCAAAAAAAAATAGCAAACTCAAAAGTTGATATATCATTGAAAAGTTTACTAAATACAGTAGTTTTTGCTGAAGAAAAAATACGCCCCCATTAACAAATTTTTGGCGTTATCATCAATAAGGAGATACCACTAATTCTGCTCATTTCACAATTATTACATTTAACTTTTTACAGCACCTGGTATAGAACATTTTTTAAACACTCATATGTGCTCGTCTTGTAGTAAATTTAACGCTCTTTCCGATGATATGCCTAAATTTGATGTGGCTGTAAGAGTAACAGATATATTTTTGTTTTTATGAAAAAAGGCACAAAATTTTTTTATATCAAAAAATGTTACATAAAAGAGCAACTATCAACTTTCCAAAAAAATCTTATAATACTTTTTTGTTGAAAATTACTTGTATAATAAATAACCCCCTGAAGTTTGGCCATCAGCATCCGTTACACCCTGTATATCACTTTTTAATCAAGAATTTAAAAAACATGTAGGTTTTATAAAAGGATGAGCAGGGATGTGTCAAATATAAACTTACTTCCATGCTTCATTTAGTTGTTCCAAAGGATGCACATTATTCCTCTCTGTTGTCTGTAAACAAAGAATTCTATGATATATATTATATGCATCTGCTCGACATTCTGTGGAACAGTATTCTACGCCGCACATTACACATGAAACAATTTTACTCTTATCTGTCATACAGCATTCGGAATAAGGTAAATCCATATAATGTCCAGTTAGTCTGGTCGCATTTTCTTGTGCTGTTTCTAAAGGCCTACAAATTTGATTACCATTAACTTATGAAATATTGAATGTGAACTTATTAATACTTCAAACAATGGTCACATGCACGGTATTGATACGTTGAGTTCCATGAAAATTGGCAAGACACAATAGGATCTTCCTCAAAAATAATTGAACCATTATTAATTTTTTTTGTAGCATATAATCCTTTCCCCTAAAAAATCAAGTACCTATAAATGGATTAAACAAAAGTTTATTGTTGAGTACCTTAGAAGTATCTGATATTCGTACTTCTACATTCATTTTTAGCAAAAAAATACCACGAACACGAGTGAAAACAAAATTTACATAACCTCTCTTTAAAGTTAGGTTAGGCTCATAATAGACCATAGATAAATTGTCATAGATAGACCTCGTAAGTTTATAAGCTCTATGATTAGACTCAAAGAGGATAAACTAATTTATCCCCTTTGGCATGGAGGTCCCACTGCTGTTTGGTTAGGTTAGAGCCACAGAGGCACAGGTGTACACCTTCTAACCTACCTCAAATGAAAAAGCAATTGATTTGATATGTCAGCACTGTCAGTACGACATGGAGAAGAAAATTAAATTATATGTACTATCCCTGTTGAACTATTTAAAGCGTATTCAATTCGCTATTCACTGATAAATATTCATGTTTGCCCAAGTAATCGAGTGAATATTTTGTGGATATATAATTTAATTATTATCCTAAATGTTATTACATTTTTGTTTCTTTTACGTTACAAAATAAACCTCATTTTTTGTAATATCTGAAAATATATAAATGTTATAAATGTGTTTCCTACTTCTAGCCTAGCGGAAAACGTTTACTTCTTTTATTATGCTGTTGTGTTGATAAATGATACTGTGTTGTAGTGATGGGCATAATCGACCAATTTTGATAATCGAGTTATCGGTAATCGAGTACTTCTAATAATCGAGTGATCACTCGAGATACGAGATATTGGCCGTTTTCATCCCAGCGGCGCACAAATATGTTTGTATTAGTCATATATTACTTATATGCGTAGCTAAAAAAAAAAAAGCTCACGCACTTCAAAACCTAACCACTTTTTTGTTTTATTCTAAAAAAAAAGATTACGCAATCAGTGACTATTTGCAGTATGCACTAACATTTTGGGGTGCAACCGTACAGTAATAATCACTCGAGTAGTGGAAGTAAACATCTCGAGATATCTCGAGTGATCTCAATAATCGAGTACCACTCGATTTTTCACTCGAAATCTCCCATCACTACTGTGTTGTGTTGATTGTCCTTGTAGTCCTAATGATTGTAGAATTTGTAGAATTGAATTAATAGGATGTAGAATGGAAGATTTGAAGATTATAAAATATGTTTATTGCGATTGAAGTTCTTGGGAATATATAGCAAATGTATTTCTAAATATTTATATTATTATTTAAATATATAATGGAAAATATTAATATTAATATAACAGTTAAAGATTTTCCCTATATATGCCGAATATGCCTAAGTAAACAAAATTTGAAACCTTTTGAGCAGTCACAAGATTTATTAAAATTGTTTCAGGATATTACCAATATTATTCAGGTAGGTGTCGTATGACCAATTGATTGAATTGAAATTGAAAAATTAAGCCTGTACTGTCGAGAAGCAATTTATTTTAAAATATATTTAAATATGCTTGCTATAATATATTCATTATTAGTTTCAGTACAGGACAAGAAACTCTTTTTTGTGATAGATGTGTAAAATGAATATGTTTGGAAACGATCAGTGCGAACAGAAACCATTTGAATGTAATTAAAAATATGTAGTTAAATATCTTTATTTTTAGATTGAATTTGAAATTCAACTACCGAAAAATGTTTGTGTGGCTTGCCTCGACCAGCTGCAAAATATTTCCTCCTTTATTAATCTATCTAAAAATAATGATACTCATTTGAAACAGATCATCAATGAAAATATTGAAAATAAACCAAAAATCTTTGCTGATGAAGCGAATTTAGACTGTGAGGATATAGATTCTCATCAATGTGCTGATGAATTAGATAGTGATATAAAAATGAAGTCTGAAGATAAAATAGAAAACGTAAAAGTTGAAACTCTTTTTGAATCGAATCAAATTAAGCAAGATAAGAAGATTAGAAGACATTCTACAAAATCACAGTCTTCAAACTGCAGTATATGTGGTGAATATTTTACAACAAAAAATAAGCTCCTTGAACATGAGAGACAGAATTTTAATTGCAGAACAAAGAACTTTAAATGTACACAATGTGAAAAGGCGTTTTTTACAAAATTTAAATTAAAACTTCACATGAGATCACATACAAAAGAGACTCCATTCGAGTGCAATATTTGTTTTAAGAAGTTTAGGCATTCCTCCAATTTAAAAAGGCATGATGACACGGTGCATAAAGGTTTAAAACCGTTCAAATGTGATGTTTGCGGTAAAGGTAAGGTATTTTAATTTTTTTATAAAACCCTTTTTGTAAATAAATTTGGTGTTACTCATTTCATCATAAGTATTTTGACTAAGCTATAAAATTTTATTTATTTATTTTATTTTATTTATTCAGATTCTCATAATTGTAATAATTCCGGCTATACACAGACATACTTGTCTTAATACGTGTCCATAGATGTGTATACACGCAATAAGTATCAATTTTCTCCAGAAATGATCAAGTTACATATATTAAAGTCTCGCCTCCTGGAAGCATTTTAACGTGTCGATGTGAGTAGCATTGGCAAATGTATTTTGATACGATTATATTTATACAATTATTTTACACTAGAAAACTCAGTTTCAAAAATTTAAATTTAAAAATTTAAAATGTTTTAGAAGCCATTCTTTGTATAAAAGACAGTGGTACCTAAAATATTTTGTTTTTCTTTGATTCTGTCTCCTTAACTATGAAAGTGTACATTACTGTTCAGGATCCTAATTCATTTACATGAACATTGTGGATAAAACCGAAAATAAACACTTGCGTGTGTAGACAAATCTAGAGCATGTTATTACTTATATTAAGTCATGTATGTGTGTACCCGGCTATAAAGTCAATAAAACAAATTAATAAATAAAACAAAATAGGTGTGTTCAATTGATTTACGACTGAAAACATTTTTTATTCCTTTAAAGTTTACGTTATTAGAATAAAACTTTAAAATATTATTATACTTAAATGGCAATTTCCACCTTATGTGAAGAATGTTGAACGAACACATTGTAATGATAGAAAAAGAACACAAAAAAATTTCAATTTTATATTGTAGAATATTCAAGACTAGCAACAAAAACTGAGCATATGTATAGCCACAGTGGAGAACATCCATATATTTGTGTGTATTGTGGAAAATCGTTTCGAACATACTCCAACCATTTTTATCACGTATACAGACACAAAGTAAGCAATGGAGAAATAACAAAATCTAATAAGAAAAGCATTTCAGAACTAATCTGTAAAATTTGTAACAAAAACTTTTCTTCGAAATCTAGCGTTTTGCAACATTTACAGTTACATGGCGAAAAAAAATTTCTGTGTACTATTTGTGGTAAGTCGTTTCTACGAAATCGTCAATTAGAAGACCATTCAAAACTACATACTGGAGAAAAGCCTCACGTATGCAAGTACTGTGGGAAAAGTTTCCGCCTAATTAGTGGTTATAAAAGTCATATTTTAATACATACAGGAGAAAAACCTTACAAGTGTAAAATGTGTAATAAAGGATTTGTACAGTCTGTTCACTTAAGAAAGCATCAGAGGGTCCACACAGGAGAAAAACCGTACCAGTGCTCTTTTTGTGGAAAGTGTTTTGCAGAAAAGTGTAATTTAAAAGTGCACATTAGAATCCATACAGGAGAAACGCCTTACCATTGCTCCGTTTGTGGGATGGGCTTCTACGATTCGAGTAATATGAAGAAACACGAAAAAGGACATTTAATTATTAAACAAGAATAAATATAGAATTCTATATAACAAAATCATCAGATCTGAATTATTTTTTGTCTCATTAAATTTTGATAATACAGGATTAGTTCTAAAGAAAAGATATTTTCTCATCAATGTGTTTTAAAATAAGCCCAACAATAAAATAGTTTAAAATTTTTCAGCACAGTTTTTATTACTTCAAATATGATACATTTTTTGATAGTATGAATTTTAAATAAACAAAACACCCTTCGATCAGAATGTTATTCAAATTAAATTTAGTTCAATCTGTGCAGAGAAATATTGAAATTATTGTGAAATAAATAAGTGTAAGTGTTTTAAGTCTTTGTCATAACTTAAGGGTTCCCGTGAGTCATTTTATACCAAAAAGCCTTAGTGAATCAGGGGTTTAATACCGCTGCTTTTCAAGATGCAGGGTGTTGAATTAAAAAAGGGTCACCACATTGAAATATCTCTTAAGATGTATGACGTATATTGACGAAACTAGGACTAATAATTATTGTCATAAGATACAATCAGTTCACCGCATTGGGCACAAATTTGTCAATTAGTGGCAGATGGCAGAGATACTATACTCGTGTATTTTTGAAAATGGATAAGTATATTTAATGTCATTTGTAAGAGAAAAAGGAAAAGCAATTCATTTTAGAGTAATAGTTTTTCTTTTATTTAAAATATTATTAACATACAGGTAATAATAAATCTTAAATAACTCAAAAACATTAATTTCAAAAAAAGATATATCAATGAAAGACATTGATGGTTAGACAGCAACCAAAAATTATTTATATTCTAATAACTTGGAATTATTACACTACTTAAAATTGTATTTTGTAACAAAAAATTCACATACTTTTTTTTTGTGAAACACGTACTTTTAGAGATATTACAAAATTTATTAAACATTACATACAATTTTAAATTCAAAAATATAACTTGGAATTGGCTTGTTTTTCAAATAATATAAAACTTACTATTTTTATACACGTAACATTTGGAATTAAATTCAATTATTCAATTTTTAAAATGCCTAGTGCTGCGAAAATGCTTATTGACAATGCTTCCCAATATCTCCGCCACTGGATGACATTGGTAAACTAATTCAAGATATTCTATTTATTTAGGTAAATTATTAGTCCAAATTTCATCTATCTACATTAAACATTTTCAGAGATTTGTATAAATATATATTATTTTAAACTGCAACGCTCAAAACACAGTGGTTTAAAAAGCACCCTTTAATTAAAAATAGGATTTAATTACTAATCTTTACACAAAAAAAGACCTANATATATATATTTTTAAATGTTGCACATACAGAATGTCTACTTTTATATGTATACACATTTATAAAACTCTTGCTTAAATTGTTTTTTTGTTTTAAATACCATTAAAAACTGCGACTCTTAATGCTCTACTCTTAAGACTACCTGCTAAGATTTTTTTTACCCAAATTTCAGTATAACCATTTAACAATTTTTTTTTCAAATCTGTCACGATAGTGTTCATTGTGTAGAAAGAAATACCCTGTATATTATTTGTTCAAATTTTGGATATACAATTTTTGTATTTTTTACTCAAATTTTGCATATGGGGTTTTTGAAGGGCCCTAAGTAACACTGTAATGTAAGATTTTAAATATAAAAAGTTACTAAAGGGGTATAATAAATTTCGAAGGTACAAAAAAAAATTTGTCATAAGCCTTGGATCTTAAAACTGGTAGCTTTGGTTTTATAAGCTACGCTGTCAAAGTCCTTTAAAAAAACTTCAGTTGATTAACTTAAAGAATAAAAGTTTTATGAATTTATACACAATTAAAAGTAGACACATGTACATATATATTTATATATATGTGTTGTCAAGATGTTTCCGGGTTCCTCTCCGCATATGGTTTTCTTGATTCTGGATAGAATCGTGTTCTGGACGACGTTTCGGCAAGATCACACTTGCCATTTTCAAGTCTTCTTTGTTCTACTTCGTG